GCTTCATCCTGTCGGGCTACCGGCGGCTGCACTGCTCGGCGCAGGAGTGCCTGGCCTCGGTGCTGCAGCCCACCAACGAGACGCTCAACTTCTGGACGCACTTCATCCCGCTGCTGCTCTTCCTCAGCCGCTTCGGGCGCCTGCTGCTGCTGCGAGGCGCCGGGGACGTGCCCTTCCACCACCCGGCCCTGCTGCCGCTCTGGTGCTACGCCTCGGGGGTGCTGCTCACCTTCGCCATGAGCTGCACAGCCCACGTCTTCAGCTGCCTCTCGCCGCGCCTCCGCGCCGCTTTCTTCTACCTGGACTACGCCTCCATCAGCTACTACGGCTTTGCCAGCACCGTGGCCTATTCCTACTACCTGCTGCCCGGGCTGAGCCTGCTGGACGCAGGCGCCATGAGCCACTACGTGCAGCAGCAGCTGGGCTGGCAGCTGGACTGCAGCGTGCCCATCGCGGCGTACCGCGCGCTCGTGCTGCCCGTGGCGCTGGCGCTGGCCGTGGGCTGCACAGCCGCGTGCTGCCGCAGCCGCGCCGCCTGCTGCGCCTACCCCTTTGCCGTGCGCACCTTCGTCTTCGCCATGCCGCTCAGCATGGCCTGCCCCATCATGCTCGAGAGCCTCCTCTTCGACCTGCGCACCCGCAACCCCACGCTCTTCGTCTACTTCTACCGGCGCTACTGCTGGCTGCTGGTGGCCGCCTTCTTCAACGTCAGCAAGATCCCTGAGCGGATCCAGCCGGGGCTCTTCGACATCGTGGGCCACAGCCACCAGCTCTTCCACATCTTCACCTTCCTCAGCATCTACGACCAGGTGCACTACGTGGAGGACGGGCTGGCCGCGTTCCTCAAGGCCTCCCCGGCCGCTCCCACCTACCTGGGCACCGTGGGCTACATGCTGCTCCTGACGCTCTGCCTGGCCGTGGTGGTGCGCAGGTTCCTCAACGTCACAGACCTCTGCAAGCAGGACTAGCCGGCCCGGCCGCCTCACGCCGCTCATCCTCAGCCCGGCCCTTCCATGTCTTGGAAATGCTGCGAAACCGGGGCACGTGCACCTGTGGAAACGGCAGGTCCCTTCTGCCGAGGGCAGCCGAGAAAATGACGGTGGAGGAAGCGCTCGCGCTGGTTACTGCACTAGGTTACCAGGGGAAGCAAGCAGCCGCTCGCTGGTACGTTGCTGCTTAGGGTATAAGCTGAAATAATTTAGTTCTGCTACTAGGAAGATTGCATGGACTGTGAATGCCACTTACTAATTTCAGAACAATTAGGTTTAAATCAGCTCTGTGTGTGTGTGCGTGTATATATATATATAAATCTGTAGCTGTATATTTACTAGCTACACAAATATATATGCGCGCATATATATATATATATACACAAAGACACACTTGTGCAATGATTACTCATAGACTTTTAATCAATTCCTGTGTGAAATTTCCTGGCAGATTATGCACTGATGGTCATCTTCCTCTGTGGTACTGTAACAGGCCTTTGTAGTCACAAACTGGATTTTAAATGCACACAGATTGACGGCTCTGTATAGTTTTTAAGGTCTTGCAGCCTTTTCAGCCAGGGAACATTATAGATTTTACATAGAGAGGGAGAGGGGGAGAGAGAGGGAGAGAGAGAGAGAG